CGAATTTCATTGGAGTGTAATTTAGGGTTTTAAGCTTAACCACTTCACCATTTATTTAATTAATTAAGTCCTACTCTTAATTAGTCCACTAATTCACTATTTAATTAAATTTTAAACATAAAATCCTAATTATACTTATTGGGGTAGATTGGAGATGATAGTATCATTAGGGTTTAAATCCATTCCTTAATCACAATTAGTGTTATTAAGCTTAAAGGTTGCATTTTTTAACATTTCCTTTGGTCCAACCAATGATTGTCCACACTTTACAACATCAAGAACCAATTTTTATCAATTTAAAACATCAACCCCATGGTGAACACACGTTGGCCGAATCACATAGATGGGTGTGGGAGGGTTTTGGTCACCATATTTCCAAGTAAACATGCTTACTTCTTCAAGTTTGCTCCAAAGCTTCAAGCTTCCATTTTCCTCAAACAAAGATGCATCTTTTCCACAAAGAACACACCTTTAACAAAGACCCAAAGTTAAAACTCAAGAACACAACTCAAAGATGGGATTTTTCAAGAAAACAATTCAAGAGACTTACACTAGAACTCAAGGGAATAAGCACCAAAGGAGTGTTCTTCCAAGAGAACTCAAAACACCATCATTATGGCTTGAAGGTGCCAAGAAAATGCTGCTGTATGGAGAGGGATACACCACAAAAATTTGGTTTCCAAGAACAAAAATGGTATGTTCTTGAAGAGGATAATGAAATGAACAAGTTTTGTGAAGGAAATTTAGTGATTTGGTGGAGTTTTGATGGTGGAAATCTAGAGAGAAGGAGAAAAAAACTTGAAATTCAAAAATGATAGAGAGAAGGAGGCGTTGCACAAGGCTGAATGGGAGGATGCCTTAGTCTTCTAGGGTTTTGACCAAGTCACTTAAGTGACTTTCTGTTATTTAGTGACACCAGGTGTAATTTTTATCTGAATTGTTATCAAATTTTTACCCGAAAGCACCCTAGACTCTAAATTTAAGTAATTAATATTAATTTTGTTTAATTATCATGTTCCTAACTCAAATTTTATTAGTAGATCACAGATCCACTTACTGTTGTTTAATTACACTGTAGTCTTTATCGGTATTCTTAACTGTATCCGAATTTTATAATCTTCTTAACTTTAACATTATTGGTCTAATTATAACTTGTTATGCATATATTGGTCTTTTTTTACATTTTCTCATCCTTTTCCCGTTCTGGGATTCTACCGGCTGCTTCTACAACAATACAAAATACCCAGTGGAAATGACTTTTTCAAAATACCCCAATATGGGTATCAAACTTCATCAAATCATATATTAACTTCATCTATGATGATCATATCATCAAAATAGCTCTCTAACTCAAATTTGCTAAATTGGAGTTATTCTACTGCCTGTTACTGCGTCAGCAGTCAAAAATAACATATGAAAATCCTCCTGTGTAGAATACTATCAATATGAATATCAAAATTCTTAGAATTTCATCATCATTCCATTTATGACCCTAAAATCTTCATAATAATCCTCTAATTTTGAAATTATAAAATTAGGGTTATTATAGATTCCTAGGACGTCATTCCTCGGATAAAAAGATACTAAATTCGTGATTAACCTCAATTGAATCAGAATCTTTGTATTTAATTTAGAACCCTCTCTAAGCGATCGCCTAGCGTTTGATCAAATACGGTGCTTCTACTTATACAATCGCAGAGTATTAGCCCGTTTGACTTAAGGTCATAGGGTTAATCAATCTAATCATCAAATCAGATGATTAATCTCTTTACATAATCGCAATCGTGAATCTCATATTGAATATCCACAATCGCACGATATCAATCTGAGTTTGGAAGAAAAACGAATCTGATTTAAAGGAAAAAGTTTAGATCCTCTAGACGCTTCCATTGAATCCATTACCCTTAGGTTGATTAAAGGGTTCTTAGCCTCGCATGGCTAAGGTAAACATAATTAAAATTAAAAAGAAGAAGAAGAAAGGATGAAGAACAGAAACGTGAATTGAACTCTGCAGAGAAATTTTTCAATCATACAAAAATTCCCAAAACGAAGTCTGCCGACAAGTTTCCTAAACGAACCATTTTAAACCCATCCAAACTAGGTTAGAGTTCAAATAATGTTGGCCTATAATAAAAACAGAATTAAAACTAAACAAATGGTCTTGGGCCTAAACAACATTGGGTTCTAATTACAAACTTAAATCAATAAATCTCCAACAATTAACGTCCAACGTGGGCTTTTAGACCATCTTCCTGTCCAAAATTGGCTTTCTTGTCTTCATAGCATTTGTATCACTCTGAGTTATCTTTAAAACACAACAAGAATGGAGTCAATTGGACACCTGTGAAGTTAGATATGGTTAAAATTAGGGCTGGCAATATGGGCTGGCCCGCCCAAAATGGGTTGGGCCAGCCTGCCCCGTTTTGACAAAATGGGTTGAACTTTACAACCCGTCCAGTTTTATGAGTGGGCTGGCGGGCCAACCCGCCTAAAATAAAAAAATTCATAAAATAAAATAAAAAACATAAAATTCTACATAAAAACACTTAAAAAAATATGCATAAAAACACACAAAAAATTTGCATAAAAACACAAAAAAATCTGCATAAATACATATAATTGACGTTAACTTATATGGGTAGGTGACATTATTGGATGGAAATTGATTATAAAATATAGCAAGGCAAATGAATAACATGTATTAGCTTAATATAGGTGACGTTAGCAAGGCAAATGTATTAGCTTTGTTAACATGTAAAAATATAATTATAAAATTTTTGTTACACAGCCCTACTTTGCCCAATGTATAGGTCCATGTAATTCTAATTTTACATTTCAACTTTCAGTAATTCTAATTTTTTTACTATTAAAAAAAGTTAGAAATTAAAAAAATTCAAAATAGTAACCCAACGGGCCAACCCGACCCGTTTTCGTATCAACCCGTTTTAACTCATTTGTAAACGGGGTGGGTTACATTGGGTTAGTGGGTTGGGACTCATAACCCAGCCTGCCAACTTGAGTGGGTTAAACGGGCTGGCCCGACGGGCTTGGCCCATATTGCCAGCCCTAGTTAAAATACTAAAGTAACATAAAACTGGAAATTAATGACGACAATAAATTAAACACAATAAATAACCAGAAATCTAATTTAACCCAAAAGACCATTATTTTCATTCCAAATACTCCTATAATACTAATCAAGAGTGATAAATAAGTGCAATAAAATATCCATTATCAATTAACTAAGTAAATTTTTCCTTGCCTTAAAGTTGCATTAATCTGTAAAGTTGTTGACATACTGCTCAGTATTGTAACTTGCTTGATTTGACATACTTTGAATTACTTAAGGATTTGAGTAGTGGTTGATCTAGCTAAAAAAATCATTTTTGCCACGGTTCTATTTTTTACTTGACTATATTAATTTTTTACCTAAGTAAATAGTCTTTTATCACTCGCGTAAAAGATCTTAGTTACCCGAGTAAAAGTTCCATGATTCTCTTAATTGTACTTCAAGTAAATATAGGTGCATAACCACTCACCATAACTTCTGATCAATCTAAATCATTGTTGCAATGGGATTTTATTTTGTTGATTCATCCCTTTATAGTTAAGGCAGTATCTTGGTTCTATTTTTCTTTAAAAGATAGCAAATTAGTTCATATCTTTACCATATTTTCTATAATCCTTCCGCTATACAAATCTTTGAAATATAAGGGCCCAAGCTATGTATATTGTTTTAAAATGGATTAAGGTACACTACTCTTAGATCCACACATCATATAGATTGGTGTAGGTCATAGACCTATTTTGCACTGAATTAAACTTGAATATTCAAATTCGATTGTACTTGGCTATATGGTAAATTTGATCTAAAAACAATATGTTTCCTAGTAAGGCTTGGTTAGCTTTTGAAAACAAATTGGTTGAAAATTCATTTTCATTAGACTTATCAATGTTTAGAGTACACTTGATAAAAAGATTATAAAAGACCTTTTAACATCTATTCACCTCATCTAAGTGTTTCTTTAGATTTTTAAACAAGAAGCCACTTGCCTAATACTCTTAACATTGTCCCCTTTAGGGGTTCCTTTAGCATCCTAAATAAGAATCTACTTGTCGAACACTCCCAGCATCATTTTCTTAATTCCTAAAACTCAAACTCGAGACATCTAGTTAAGGGGAACAAATTTTTTGCCACTTCAACCAATGATTGTTGGTAAGTAGAATAATATTTTTGTGATGTTTGATTAATGCACAAATTTAAAAAACAAATTATGATAAATGTAGATAAAATAATAAAAAGTTATTTTAATATATGGGAATAAAAAAGATTTTGTAGTTGGTTGAGTGGGTAAATTTTTTTAAGAGATTTGTAATATCTTTTACTTTTTTATTTTTCAATAACAATACAAAATAAACATCTTTTAGCCATGGCTAAAAACGTGGCAAATGAAGAAAAAAAAATCATGGCTAACAAAGCTTTCCACAGTTTGGCAAACCGTGGCCAAAGGATGCGTTGCATTATTTTAACCACATCAATTTTTTTCACTTGGCCACTGTCTAACCTAGCGTGGTAACATTCATTTAGCCACGATTTTTCTCATGATAGGTACATTACTTTTGTGGCAAAGTTATTTAGTTTTTCATGAAACAAAAGTTATATTTTGCCACAGCAATAATCGTGGCTAATTATAAGAAAAAAATTAAAATAAAAAGAATATTACAATTTATCCAAATAGTAAAAAAAATACGAATTCCATTTAATTCAAAGACTTTTTTTTATCAAGGTAGGTAACTAGATAATAGTCAATTAAAGAAGGCAAGTAAAAAATACAGTCAGTCCATATTTTTGTAACTGTCATCATAAGATCTTAATCAAGTTTTACACAATTTCTCAAAAGACATCATTTTCCAATTATAACATATAAGAATAATTTCCAAAGAAAACTTAAATTAGAAGTTTGTCATTGTCATATCACATTTATTCAAAACTACACATGACAACGTGAATTTTTTAAATCAGCCTTTAGAAAGTTGCTCTTGCATGCATCCTAGCCCGTTAAAAAGCTTAATCTGAAATCACATATGTAAAAAAGAGACAAAAAAAAAAAAACAATGATATCAATCTTTCTTCCACCTGTGTGTTGTAATAATGTCATAGTTAGATTTATCCTACAACCCAATAAATAGAGATAAATAGAGTCCTATCAATTATCATCTTTCTAAAATTGATATCAAGAAGATTTGGAGGATATAAACATAACCAACACAATTGTATAACAACATATAATTTTATTGTATCAATATTATTTTAATAAAATAAAATAGTTTATTTACTTATTCACTCTATTAGTGATTAGACATAAGTAAATAATTCAAATTTGACAACTCATTATAACAATGTTCAAATAATAATTTACCACAAATGTCACAACCATTGATTCATATTTCAGCATTGTGATGCTTCCTTCATTGTGGAGTCACTCCAACTCCTACTTATTCTATAGTGAAAAAAAGATGGTCGAAGGGGTCATGTGGCAATTTGGTTGTCAGGTCAACATAATTTTTCTAAATTGGTGTGTCAAAATTAATAATAATAGAATCAATAGACCATCCATACCCAATTCATCACTCTATTCTCTATTTGTATTTAAGTGCAAAAAATAACCCAAAAAATTATGCATGTAGGAACATTGAATGGGTTACGGGTGTACAAGCTACTATCATTTGTGCTTTCATTTTTGTCTAAAAAATTAGTCATTTTTTTCAATTAATGGGGCATGTTAGTGCTAACAAATGGAACACTTCAAGCAAATTTTTTAAAATCAAAGCAAATGAATAATGATAGAGAGAAGCTTTAGGGATTTAGACATCTCAGGATTTGCGATTTTAGAGATGGTAAAATAATTCACGTGAATTCTCTGTTTGGAACAACGGAGTGTGTTATAGCTCTTGAATGGAGTATGTCAATGAATAAGACCAACATAAAATCATTAATTTATTTATGAATTTACAAAATTATAAAAATATTATCCCGCAATAAAAAAGTAACCTTTTTTTGTAGATAAAACCTCTCTTTTTAATTTAGGCTGGAGAATACAAACCTAATAGGAAAACAAATAAAACAAATAGTAACATTAATAACAATTACAAATAATCACTTATTGCTAATTGATAAGAAATAAAAAAATTACCATAGAGGTCGAGAGACTAGTGAGCTTGGTTGAGTTTTGAGAATGCTCTTTAAGTTTTCGAAGAAATGCCATTGAGGTAGTGGATCTCTTGAATTATTATATTAATTCTCTTGAATATTCATATAATAATATATATGTTGCATTGAGTAATGCATTTTTATATATTTTATCATTGTATTCTTAAATTTTATATTTGCCATATTTTAAATTTATAATAAATTCAATATTAAATTTTATGGTGAAGGTTATACTTACTACTACTTTACTCTTACTACCTGATTGATTACCGCTGCATCAATTTGAAATCACCGATTGAAAAGTGAAAAAAATTAATTACAGTTGATTTCAAATTGATCAAATGGTAACAAATCAGGTAATAAGAGTAGTAAGGCTAAAATAGTAGTAAGTATAACCGTCACAAATATTAGGAAAAAATTTATGTGTGAAAATTAGTATTAAATTTCTTGTCCTTTAGAGATAAACAAGATAGGAAAAATAAAACCATAATTACCATATCTAAGGTCCCACATCTGGATGGTAGTGTGATGAGAACCAATAACATTTTGGGGATCCTGAAAACAAAATAAGAACGGAATATAAAGAATAAATAAATAAAAAACATATTTCAAAGCTGCATTAAAATATTGAAGTATACATACCCAGTATAATTAGATGAAATGAAAAGTATATTTAGGTCTACCATTAGGTCAAAACATGGTTGAACACTAAACAAAACAACCTGACCTGCTTATGTAACAAGGATATACAAAATTTTAGCACTAGCCTAAATTAAAGATGTGAGCTTTGAATCACAGTAAGGAATGTGGAGTGACTTCGCTTTGGAAATACTTACTAGGTTCATAACCACAAGCCTTCAAGTTAAATATTATCGTCTACAAGGTTAATATTTAGAGGATACCACCATAATTAAAATGACCAATATGAACTATTGCATATTAGTATAATAGATAGTAATTAAAAATTGCCAATGAGGATAACGAACCCCAAGGTTGAAAGCAACTTGTTGATATTAGTAGCTTCCTTGAGGCATTCTTTTGTAGCACCAAAGCTCTTCTTCCTATCATCAAAATGGATACATAATCTAAGAAATCAATTAAAGAAATAATTGAATATTACATACAATTGAAAGACAAACCTGAATGTTATCAACAATATTCCAAGCCCTAACTCCAAGGACAAATATTGTCTACAGATATAAAGCTTCTCACTCATGCAGGTCACAAAAAGGCATAACAGTTTAACCTTGTGAGTTCGTAAGACAAGATCATTAACCATTAAAACTTGTCAGCATAGAAAAAGGATATAGAATTTCTCTATTACAACATAAAAATTCATTAGGACATTTCATCGAACACCTAAATTGCAAGAGAAATAAGGGACAAAAGATTTACCTAAAAAGGTAGAGGTGAGGGATTTCCTATTCCTGAAATTTATAAATTAGTATACTAGACATTTATGATTCCGATACAAATTAGAAGATTTATTAATTATGCAAAGAGATCTGTTGACATTGATTGTGTGGGTCTTATAAACTCCACATTAGTTGCTCACACAATCAATGTGGGACTATATATCTCAACAAAATCTTAATAAATTTCAACATATTTCAAATTCAGCAAGCAAAAAAGGAATTATAAAATGGTAAGAAATGAAGTCGACAACCAAAAAATGCCAATTAACATGAAGTACGAAATTCAAATCCCATTGACAAACAGCAAAGAACTACGATCATGGGAAAAAGCTAGGTTTGATGGTTAGTTAGAGTGTACCTGATTCACTCGCGTTATGGAATTGACCAAAAATAAGTTGAGCTCGAGTTTGAAGAGAAAAACCAAAATTTGAAAGAGGGATCGAGATACAGAGATGCGTTTACATGGGAAAAAGAAAAGAAAAGAAACAAAGTCAAACATATAGAAAGAGCTTTGAGATGGATTAGAGGGTTTGCCTAATCGCATGCATAAATATTTTTTAACATTTTGCAACAAACTATATAGTCCTCGCTAAATCCCCATAGTTAAAAAGACGCTTTTGGTAGTGTAATTATATTATTGTTATCCATAAAAAATAAAAATTATGATGTGTTATTATTTCTTATTTTTTTATCAAGTGAATTTGACCCCCAAAATACATCAACTTAAATTATTTTTTAACATAATTTAGGTTAGGTTGGATACTAAGATCACGACCAATTTGAATGATTTTAATCAATATTTACAAAAATTAAATATTTTATTAAAATAATAAAGATATTAATTATGATTTGATTATTATAGTTATATCAGAATCAACTTAATAATAATTAAATATATGTATATTAATAGTATATAATATATTAAGTAATAAAAAATGTAGAATTTTGTATCAGTAAGGGTCGTCTGATGATCAAAATAAATGGGATAGGATATGGAAGATTATTATAATATTCTCTTATCCATTATTTGATGAATCAAAAGAATATGATAAACTTATCTCGTTGGCTCTTTTTATCCTATCCATGGGCCATGGCGTAACAAGTTTTCATAAGGGTGGGTCAAGATCGTACACGATATGATAGAAAACATCACACTTTTTTATGTTAAATGTACCCCTTTACTATTCTATTTATACTTCGTTAGAAACATGAGTAAGATCCTCCCAATCCCTGCCACCAAAGGATAACACATTACAATTCTGCACCAATGCCAAAATGTGGTCAAGCTTAATGTTATATATAAAGAATGGGAAAAACTATTCTTATGTCACATGACATAAATTTTCTCTCCTACACACCCTTCGACAACTGTGCTACTTTTTTCTTTTCTTTTCTTTTATTTTTTCAGGTGGTGGAACCCACTAATTTGTCTCTATGACATGAGATAACTATCTTCTTTAACATGAGATTAATAAAACCCATAAAGAAAACTAGTCCACTCAAGATTGTAGCATGAGGTAGGAAATGATAAAAAGGATATTTGGTGAGAACATCCGGTCCAAACCTTGGAGAGGAGAATGCCCAAGAGATGTGCTACAACTTTCTAGCGGATCACTCACTTGAAGCAGGGCCAAATAGTTTAAAGAAGGCTTCAACAACTTAGTTCAGGATTTATAGGCTTATTATAGACTGCTTAGATGCCCTTACCCAATATTCACATAGATCGCTCAACAAGGCCTGGCCACCAATTCACTTAAGGACATATGTTCCTTCCCACACGTGATTACTCATTATTCTCATGCATGCATAACCCTTACACGTCGGAGTCACACAACTAGAGGTGTTCGCGGTCTGGATTGGATCGGTTTTGAAGCAAAAAACCATTCGATCCAATTTCTTCGGTTTGGTCATTACATCATTCGATCGGTTTGAATTTTTTTTCAAATCTGATCCAATCCGATCCAATATTTTTCTGTTTGGATTGGATCGGTTTTCGGTTTTTTGAAAAGCCAAAAAAACAAAACTTATAAGAATTAGTTTTAGAAAAAAGAGTAGTATTATTTGTCATGGATCCTTTATATTGGTAGTAGCAGAAAATTTTGACAATACCGTAGTAATAAGTCTTCTAAAATCACTAATAAAAAGAATTATTGATCGATGTTCTAATAAAAAAAGTAATGAATTCTTTTACAGATATCACTGTTTTACTACTTATAAATTATAATGGCCACTATGAACACTGGCCAAAACACAGCTTCTGCAAAAAAACTTAACCATGTATACTAGATTAACGAAAGTAATCCAGAAATTCCATAACATAGTAAACTTAAACATAAAACTAAATTCTTCTTACCCATACATAGATCATTGGCATGAATACTACGTTAACAAAAAAAAAATTTGGTAGAAAATAAGTTTGGATCGGTTTTCAACATTCAAATCGAAAACCGATCCAATCCAGTAAATATTTGTGGTTTTTTTCGGTTTTCGATTTTTCGATTTTCGGTTATTTCGGTTTTTGGTTTTTCGGTTCGATTTTTGCGGTTTGAATCGGTTTGGATCGGTTTATAAACACCCCTACACACAACCTTACACCTCAATGAGGCCCACAAAACTGGTAAGCGATTATGGCATTACACTACCCACGCTAGGAGAATCTTCTTCATGCTATAAATACCACACTCCTCTTCTGAAGAGGCATCTTCTTCTCCATTACTAACCTTCTGAAACTTTGCAGAAATCTTTGTTCCCAAGTCATAACCAAGCACAATCATCTCCCCTTTAATCCTAGCTTTTATGAGACCTCAACGATGACCACCAATGAGTTGTAGTTTATACTCCTGTGTCCTCAATAATTGTTATTTTGATATACTTCCCCTTTCAAAGGATACTTCTTCTCCCTTGCTCACCTTTTTGACAAGTTCAGTAGTGTCGTATGTGGGAAACAATAAATTGATTCCCTCTCTTCTACCTAAAACAAACTCAGATCTGCTTCAAAGCTCCAAATCGACAACAACGGTGGAAACTCGTTGTGCTACTTACACTTGACCTCATGTTGGTCAAGTTCTTAATGGCCACTAAAACATTGAATAAGAACTTTGCCTCTTTCGCTCATGCTCCAATACAACACTACCAATAGCAAGCTTATTGAGATGCTAATGAAGGAGAATGAGTCCCTCCATCATCTTGTTGCTAGTATTATTAATCCTACTGCTCAATCGGCGATTCAGTTGGTTGAAGGTAAAGCTGAGAGTGTAGGACCAATTCAAGTTTAACTTCAAAGCTTTGCCACCTCTAATTACAATGACATACTGTCCACCACCATTTTAGCAACAAATACCAATGCAATCGACCATTTCTCAAGCTACCTAGCAGTTACAACTTTGTGGCGAATATGATGTCTTTTGTCCAACTAGTTGCGAAAATATCTTCTATACTATCGTAGCATTGAAAACTCAATACATCATATACTAAATTTATAAAGAAGTAATGTAACTAACTTTTATCCTTCTACCCATCTCTGAAGGTATATCATCAAAAACGCGAAAGCTCATCGTACCGATGCGATGAGGAATGAAGAACACCGCTTTGATTACCTGAGATGAAGCAGCGAGTGTGACAGTTTCTCACGTTCTGTTCTCCTCCTCAAGCCTCACGATCTGTAGCAACGCATCACGAACGGTCGCAATTCCGCTCTACGGTTGATCTTCAAGGCTATGACTCAAGGGGATCAACAAGTCGTGTGGGCAACCGTTCACACGATGAACGTCTGCCTCTTTGTGTTTCTGATGTCTGTAATCCTAGGAGGCACTATAGAGAAAAGAGAGTTTATATACTTTGCCCAATCCAAGACTAACCCTAAGCTTCATGGGTTGAAATTAGTCTTTTGAGCTCACTCTCACACTAAAGCTATTGGGCTTAAGTGAAAAGAGCATATTAAACCCAAGACCTGGTTATTAAACTCAATACATCATATACTAAATTTATAAAGAAGTAATGTAACTAACTTTTATCCTTTTACCCATCCTTCTATGGTTATTCTCACCTAAGTCCCACCTTTTTTAATTTTAGTAAAGGAGTAAGTACTCCCATAGTATCAAAAAATATGCTTAACTAGTTGCCCAGTTTTTCCAATCGGTCTGTCAAGCTCAGGCACAGGCTTTCCACCAGCCTCCGCTAATATCTCATAAGGCCTAAGCTCCAAATTATCATTAAGCCCAGTCGTACTATGTTGCTGCACCGGGCAATATGGTCGGCCACTCATATAATTTGGAACCGCCCATTGGTAAATGCCACTAGATGTGCTCCATTTCCTTATGATAAGATTTGGGTCTTATTCAATAATAAAGCCTCTCTAACTATATTTTATATAATATTCAATAAATTAAGGTCTTATACTTGAAATTTATTTTTTTAACTTAACATGTGCTTTTTGATTTATTTTCTTAGATAATGTTGATTGAATTGTTAAAAATTAATAAATAATTATTTTTAATATTTTATTATTATTATATTATATTTATTTTAAAATGGTAATAAAATTTTAAAAATAACAACCAAAATAAAGATTAAACTAGCATCTTTTTATTTAAGTGATATTGAAATTATAGAATGATCAACTATTAGTGCTAGACTTGTAAATAATAATTATTTACGCAATAAAATAATATGTAATTTCAAAAAATAAAAATACCATAGTTAATAACAAAGTTTGTTTAACAAAATAACATATACTCTTAATCAATCATCATTGGTATCATATTCATTAATACCTTTATTTTTCTTATGTTCTATCAAATCAAGGCTCTCATATTCCTATAATCACTTTCCTCTTTGTTGTCAACCACTTTTATAGGAGGCTTTTAGTATCAATGCTATCGAAAGATATTGTTTTGTTGATTATCTAATGAGAAAATTGTGTATCATTTTAAAGAATGTAAAGTTGTGTCATTTTAAGAGAGAGAAAGAGATAAATAAATAAAGAGAGAAAGTTGACAAAAAAATAAAGGTGTGGGTCCCACTTCTTTATAAGAGTGAAAGAATATAAGTTGTGTCATTTAAAAGGATAAATATTTTTTCCTTATCTAATTGATTGAACATTATTAGGTAGATTAAGCTAGTCTACTCGTCATTTTTTCGACACAGCTCATGTGTAGCCTCCTCAAATATATCATAAAAAGCATTGGGCCTTTGGCTATGACATACGGCTCGTTACTATTCAATTTAAGATTGATATTGATAAGAAAAAAATCATATATATCTTTTTTATGTCCTCTTCGTCTTGAAATGAAGACACATCCCATCAATCATATTTAAATAAAATAAAAACATTTCCACCAAAGTTACCTCCACTATATGGATTAAGACGCCAAAATCAATTAAATTTGATACATTCTCGTCAACTTCAACTAAAACTGTACTATTTTGTGATTTTAACGGCTTATCAAGATCCACAAGTCAACACCTTTATACCTAGCCTTTTTCAGAAATGTAACTAGTTGTTAAAA